GATTGCAACCCTCGGCGTTGCTCCCGCGCCTCGCTCAGCCAGTGAGCGGGAACCGGTCTGTATGTGGGATCCGAACCCTCGGGCGGGAGCGCCGCCACACTTCCCAAGCGGCGCACTATCCAGTGCGCCACCGGGCCGGCCCATAAGCCAATATTAAAATAAGATGAAATCTGATTGAAACACCATGGTACTTCTAATGATTCTTTTTATAAATCACTTTGCTTTTACATCTTCTTCTGCATGTTTACCTGTTCTTCCCTATTGGAAGGAGCCCAGGAAGTAAAACTCTGAATAACTCATTGGTAACATTAGACTACAATTCTCTTTCCTTGCTGAAAACAGAAGTGTGTGCACAGCACACGTTTTTTTTTCCCCGTCTAGCATCATTTCTCCTGAAACCAAAGGTGTCTTTTTCTTTTTATGGCTAATAAGACCTGTGGAAGTTTATGTTTATTTTTACCTTTATGATTATATAGTAATTTATAGAATCAGCTAAAATCAGATATCCATGGTATTTTGGTTATATTTTGCCTTGTAGGTTATTATTCCTGGCGAAATTCAACACATGGATCCTGGTTCATCCAGGCACTTTGTGCTTTGCTGAAAATGTACGCCCACAAGCTTGAGTTCGTGCACATTCTTACCCGGGTTAACCAAAAGGTAGCAACAGAATTTCAGTCCATTAGCGAGAAATCTGAGTATCATGCAAAAAAACAAATTCCTTGTATTGTGTCCATGCTCACAAAAGAACTGTATTTTTACCACTAAGGAAATGGTTGTTTTGTTTTGTTTTTTAGTTTGTATGCCAAGTAAGAAAACAGTATAATTGATACTATATTCCCCTCTCTCATTTAAATCTAATCTAATGCTCCAGATGGTACTTTGAAACATACCATTTCCATAGCAATAGAACCACCATGAAGCTACCTCAAACTCAAAATCAGAATTTAGTAGTCAAAATTAAATTTAATTAGGAATAAATAGAAATGGATGATGGTGGAATCGTTATGAGAGAATTGATTGTAAATTTACAGCTTTCATAATTAGCAAGTTTCAGTGATGCTATGCTATGAATTTTCAAGTCGTTATGAAAAAGTTAAACATTGCAATAATGACTTTTAATGATCTCCTCCCCACCCTTTAAGACTGTGCATTCTAGTTTTTTTCCAGACTGTAGGACTGATGGTATGGAATAATGTATACTAAAACAGGAATCCGTGGGCATGGGCAAAGGCCTGATAACCTTTATTTTAGAACTGATATAGGACAGTGAGTCAACAGAATTTTTAACTCATTTATCTGAGCTTATGGTTTTATGATGTTTGTCCTAAGCATGTCTTTGTTGTCAAAAATCATGTTTAATATTGAAAAAGAAACTAAATATTTTATTCAAGAGAAAGTGTGAGAAACAGAGTTGACTCTTAAGGCTGAAATGCTGCAACATTCATAGAGGGACAGTTGCAACCATAAGGGGCTGAAATGCAGCTGGGCTGCCAGCATAAGTGTCTTCTCCTTTGCTCCTATGCAAATCAGTTGAGCTTTACATACCAGCAAAATATCTGAGGTTTTGTAAAAACCTCAAACTGTTGATTATTAGCAAGATGATATGAAGAAATTTTATAGGAACATACTAAAATGTAACTTAGAAAAGGTGGAATGGAAGGAAAGAACTGTAAATCAATCAGGTGGGCGCTCTGTAATTCGAGAGAAGATGGTGTGAGCCTGAGCAGAGACAGGGCACAGCCTGTTCGATGAAGGCTTCCAAAAAGGACTGCCAGCTGGTTTCTTCATAGGTACTGGTGCATGTGGAGGATGCCCCCAAGGCACGAAGTGCCAAGTAAGAGTGAACCAAGTCTAAAGCTTCTGAAATGGGAATTTTCCCAAAGTGGTGAGAGTCACAATAAGAGTCGTAGTACTCTTTGTAGGAAAATTTTTAAGCATGTCATTTTCTGTTAAGTTTACAGTCAAAGGAAAATAGTGGTAACGTTTTATACTCTTGCTGAAATAAAAGGACCATGGCACACAGACTTTAGAAGTCATTGAGTCAGAGCCTCTCCCCCGGCACCTGGGGAAACTGAAGGCCAGAGCTCAGCACTCAGGGAAGTCAGGCTCCAGGCTTCCTCGCTCAGAGGTGTGGAGCTGTCACCGCAGCATCGTGTCACTGGCTTTCAGTGTGACATTTCACATGAACTTTCTTTTTACTCAAGGAAAGGAACTCACATTTACAGATGACAGGTATTTGTTTTGACTGGATTTGTAACTCTTCTTAAGTAAATGTAGCATGTAATGGTATCATAAGGTGTGATCCTGTGTGACAATTTTTTTAAATTTGTTATTTTGCATTTTTATTTTAAAATAAAATTCAAACTTAAAATTGCCAACGGGTTCAAGTTCTTTGTTATTGTTGTTTTCGATGTTGTGCTACTAATCGGAAGTTAAAATATTTTTAACTAAGAGCCTAATTTGGAAGAGTCAAGGAGAATGCAACAGAACGTAATCTAATATTTTGAGGTGGTAACAAATTACTGAATAGAGGGAACAGATCTCTTAGGCTGCTGAGGTCCTCGCAGGAGGTCCTGTTCCTAAAAGGGCTATGATGCCACAAAGGATACTAGGTTTTCAGAGATCTTAGTCCCTAAATATGGCCATATTTTAAAATTTTAAACATTTTCCACCACATAAATTTTAAATTGGGTCATTGCAGGGGAAAACAACCTAATGGGGATATGTTGACATTTACTGCTGGCTTCTTCTGGGAGACAGGATTGTGACAGAGGAAGATGCTCTTTTTACTTTACATACTTAGAAAAGGAATATAGCAAAGTGGGACTAGGTGGTTTTAAATTTCTTCCAATATTTCTATAATGAACATATATTTCTTTAAATTAGAAACAAAATAAAATTGTCCTAATTAGGTATTAGAGACTCCTGTTTCCAAGGAGCAGAGAGTGGCACGAATGACTTCTCCAAACCTTTTAAAGGTGTGGTTCTATAATGCATTGAGAAAAATCTAGCCCATCTCATCTTCCTGCTGTATAAAGAGGTCTCAGATATTAAAAAGAAAAGACAAGCAACCCAACAGAAAAATGGGCCAGGGGCATGAACACTTCACAGAAAAGGACCAAATGTCTCTTCAACTCAGATAAAGAGCTTAATCTCCATCATAATGAGAGATGTAATTAAACTAAGGTACTATCTGTCATCTCTCAGATTGGCAGAAATTCCAAAGTTTGATAATATATTCCATTAGCAAGACTATGGGGAAATTATCTCCCATTAATAGGAGTGCAAAATGGTGGTATAATTCCCTTTGGAGGGGAATCTGACAAGAGTAAATATCAAATTATTTACTCTTTGAAGTAGCAATCTCATTTCTTGAAATCCAGCCTACTTATAAAACTGTACATGTACAAAATTATATACAAGCTTTTCATCACAACAGTTTTAATGGTAAAAAAAAAATGGCGGCAACCCAGCTATAGGGAAGACAGGTTAAAATACACTGGTACATCCACACAGGAGAACAGGAAAAAGCAGTTAGAGGGGAAAGTGAGTTGAAATTGTTTTGTTTTTTCGTTTTTAAGTGGGAGAGATTTAAGCATGATTAACTGCTGGGATCCAGTTAAGAGAAAGATTGAAAATACAGAAAAGAAAAGTAACTGACAGTGTAGGGTTCCCAAGAAACTTAAGAAGGGTAAATCTGAGCACAGTTGGGGTGGAGAGGGCGATGGGGAGAGGAGAAGAACCTCTTTGGTTTCTTTTTTAATGGAGAAAATACGAACAGCTGTGGCTGAGGCTAGATTTGTAGTTTTTGTGGTAGGAAGTTCCCCTACAATAGCTTCTGTATTTTCTTTGAGGGGGATGATAGTGAACCAAGGGCTAGAAGAGTAAGGAAGGTTTGAAGCAATCATTGTCAGGAGTGGAGGAGATTAATAAAATCACTGGGCAATGTTTAGGGCCCCAGTTCAAACCAACAATTATGAATGTGCAGTGGTACCAGCCTGCCTTGTGTGATTTTATTTAGCAATACTTAGTTGCTTGGGTATTGGCATGGATATTGCATGTGTTGAGCTTTTGCCCGCATGTATTTAAAAAAGACACAGGAGCCACAGATTTCAGGGTAGTGCAAAACGACTTACTGAATTGATGAACTGTGGAATGTAAGCTGGACAGATAAGGAAATGAAAACGAGGGGGCTGATTATCGGGAATAAGGAGAGGCCCATGGCCTTGTGGTCCTAATAAATTTGCAGACCCATTGTAGTGGGAGTGGTGGAACAATAAGACCAAAATGATGGGAGATTGTGATCAGAAACAGATCATCTGAATTGGATTGGGCCGATTTGATCATGAAAAAGATGGGACTAAGTCAAAGAATGAAGTAGCGTGAAAGAAACCATTTTGGGACTAGCATGAAAGAGACCATTTTTGTACCACCACAGTGGGGTTTTGCAGTAGTGGGGAGAGGTTGGGCTCCACTCCAAATACAAGCAAAAGTGAGAATTCACAAGCCAAGGAGTTGGGGGAGGGGGGGGGCACCAGCAGATGAAAAATTACTAAGAGGTAGCATCAGGGGTAAGGGGTATTTTGGCCAAATCTACCTGACAGGATTCTTGCTGAAGGCAGGCCGGGGTGATCAGACACCACCTGGGGGAGACGGAGGGTGAGGAACCCAATTAGGAGACATGTAGGGTGATCAGATATTGAGGGTGGAGGATTCAGGCTGTACCAACTTAGCAGGATTCTTACTAAAATTGAACCGTGCGCGGAGGGTGAGGAACCCAATTAGGAGACATGTAGGGTGATCAGATGTTGAGGGTGGAGGATTCAGGCTGTACCAACTTAGCAGGATTCTTACTAAAATTGAACCGTGCACAGGTGAACACAGTCCAAAAGTCAGGGCCCAGTTGAGAAGAGAGTTCAGAGGAGCCTGACTAGAGATTGGTCAGAGAGAGAATCTTTGTCAGTGTTTAACAAGCACTTCAAGTGATCCCCATGTCATTGTTCCCAGGATCACACTTGGAGAAGCACTGTTGGACATCTGTTTAATGGTCCTTTCATTGGTTCATAGGTCTTAACCTATGAACCAAATGAGAAGAAAGTGGCATTTTTCAATACCAACAACCAGCTCTCTGATTCACCAGACACCAACTGGGTGTCCTGCAATTCAACTCAATTCTGACATTATCTACCAGGAGTTAGCACAGACCCCCCAGGTTAAGGGCTCATTCTCATAAGGCCATCCCCACTTCAGACGCCAGTTGCAAGTTCTGTCCCCCCATATAGAAATCTGACCAACCGGCTAGAAATCATTTGTAAACCACAACCCCCTTCACAGATTCAGTAATTTGCTAGAACGGCTCACGGAACTCAGGACCACACTTTGCTTACATTTACCAGTTTGTTATGAATAACACAACGAAGGAACTGCAGAATGGCAGAGATGCATAAAGCAGGTGTACGGAAGAGGGGTGCAGACCTTCCATGCTCTCTCCAGATGCACCAACCTCCCAACGCTTTGATGTGTTCACCAGCCTGGAAGTTCTCTGAGTCTGGTTGTTCAGGAGTTTTCATAGAGCTCCAGCTCCCCTCTCATCCTTGGGGCCTGGGGGTGGGGTAGAAAGTTCCAGCTTTCTAATCATTTGGTCTTTCTGGTGACCAGCCCCATCCTGAGATTGTCTGGTGCTTCTGTGCTTGCTCGCCCTGCCCCCACCATCACCTCATTAGCATAAACTGGTGCAATTTAAAGGGGCCTGTTATGAATAAGAAGTCTCTCCTATCGCTCAGGAAATTCCAAGTTTTAGAAGTTCTGTGTTAGGAACCAGAACAAAGGCCAAATGTGTGTTTTATTATACCACAGATATATATCAAAGCCCTGTAACTTAGAACTCATCTCTGTACCTGTAGGCAGTGTATACAGATTATTTTTAGTAGCAGGAAAGAACAGGCCAGAGTAGAAGCATCTTGGTGAAGGCAAAGGACAGAGGAAGGAGGAATCCATGCAGAAGATGGTGGAAGTGATCCCGATCTGCAGACAGAAGTTGGTGCAGAGGAGATGCCAGAAGGAGACAAAACTTAATATTCTGTAAAATGTCTACATCCAGTATTACTTAACAGTAGTCTTTTTGTGTGTGTGTGTGTGTGTGTGTGTGTGTGTGTGTGACACCAGTAAGGGGATCGCAACTCAGCCAGTGAGCGCACCGGCCATCCCTATATAGGATCCGAACCTGCGGCGGGAGCGCCACTGCGCTCCCAGCGCCGCACTCTCCCGAGTGTGCCATGGGGCCGGCCCTGCCTAACAGTATTCTAAGTGGACTTATTATATTTCCATATCCTATGTTCATTCATAGTATTTAACCTGACTTTCAAGTTCTCCAAAGCCCTTGCTAATTTTCAAAGCTTACAAAAATAACTGGTGATTCTGCTCAAAACCTTAAAATATAATGTAGTCAAAAGCACCATGTAGAAATAATAGGTCCCTGTTTCCGGCCAATGCTACTGTGTCTGTTCTGAACAATTGCCTCCAGAGCCATTGTTGCTGATGCAGAATCAGATGGAATGGACTGAGAAATCATATTTGCAAATGGCTTCTGTTGAGAGTTTCTGTATGTGTAAGAATGAGTTGCATTGCCACTGAGGTGAATGGTGGAGGCAGCCTGTACACCAAAACCTTACTGTGCTCCTGCACAGTCGTGACCTGCCTTCCCGACTTCCTGCTTGTCCCCCATGGCCCCCATCCTGTGCTATGAACTTTCAAAACTTGCAGTGATAAGCAACTCAGATTTGTCTGGCGTGTGCATATCACCTGTGGTCTTACTCATCACTGTTTTACCCCAATGCAGGCTGATGCAAAAATTAAATGATTTAAATATTAAAAATCTTAATTTAATGGACAGATTCCAATTTTCTATTTTACTTTCTACCACTTTATCCCTATCAATTAACTTGGTAGCTTTCTGAAAAAATTTTTTTCAAAAAAATTTTGTTATAAAATATGTAAGTAATTTAATATAAACATTCAGGGCATATCTCTCTGATATTCTCTCCACTCAAATATTCTTTATATTTTATTTAAATTTCTACTATAAATACAAAGTCATACTAAATTGGAACCTGATTTATCCATGTTCTCTCCCCATCCCAACCCATCCCCTCATACATCCTCAAGCATAGAGCAGAACTGAAAGGTTGAAATAGTTGCACCAAAACAGTGTTTTGGTTTATTCAATGAGCTCATGAAAAAGAAAGACAGGCTAGACTCAGAACCACACTAATACATGTATATACTTAAAGTTACCAATGGAAATTTTTAAGTGATTTGCTATGGGTTCTGTTCACAAATTTCTTATAAAAACTCATGAAGTCATCAATGGAGGCTTGTG